CACACACACACACACACACACACACACAATCTCTCTCTCTTACCCCATTTTTTGTTCTGTGATGGTATATGTTACCAGTCTTATCAATGCTTGGATCAACTTAGTGGCCAGCCAAGTTGATCATGAGTAGGAGCCAGGCTCGTCAGATGAACTGATGCTCCAGGATGACATGCAGAACAAGACCCAAAATTGATGCATTTCACCCCATCTTTTATAGCCTTGTCAATTCACCCAGTCCTCTAGGCTTTTGCTGGTTTATCACTGAGCCCTTTCTTAAAGGTCGATTACTGTTGTTCTCTTGCTGTTCTGGGCCAGATTATTATTGTTTGGGCTTTTACCTGTCTGCATTCTTCAGTCAGTCACCAGGTGATGTTTTCCTTTTCCACAAACACTCTCTCTTTCATACATCATGCAAAAGAGTAAAAGGTCGAGCACTTATGTCAAGTTACAGAGCAATACAAAATGGAGTTTCTTAAGGCAATGCAAAAGGCAAAAGTCTCAAGTTGGTATTTATGCTATTTGAATAACGGATGTAATAACTAGTCAGGAGAGGTTGCCCAAAAGGCAAAGAGAGTTTGTTCCAACTATGGCTCTCCTGGCCTCATCCCATTTTTACTCTGGCTATGCCTTCTAGCTTGAAGCCCACTGTTCAGGGCCACAAGGTGCTGACTTTGCTTTGCCTATGTCCTTGTGACCTTAGGCTCCAGGTCCTGTGAGACCCATGCACAGGTATCTGGGGCATAGGCCCTGTTTTCCCTCATTCCACTCCTGCTTTTCAGCCCCTTACAGGCTCTGCCCCTCTTGAGAACAGAACTTAACCTCAGTCTTTATCTTCCATCCTCTCAACAGTCTGAAATTCAGAGTGTCCCCTCCCCAAGCACCTCTTTCAGAGGCCTCCACCACTTCCCTTACAGACACAATCCAGTCCATCAAGGAAACAAAAAACACAAAACACAGGTACTGGTCCCAGCTCAAACAAATGTTCTGCCCAGAGTTTGCCTCACCTTGTAGTGGTGCACGTCAAGCAAAATAGAAATAGAAAAGGCTGCCACTCAGTGCCCTCCCTTCATGGTCTGGGCTTCAGCCCTTGAGTCCATTTGTCAGGGGCTCCATCCCCTGCAGCTCCTATGAACAGACTCGTTTTCCTGGCCTGAGGCTTGGGTTTATAAATGGTGTTCCCATTCACCTGATCCTCCACTTCCACCCCTCGGGTCATCAAGCACTGTCTGCCCCTGGACCCAGTGACCATTTTGTTTCAGGCTTCTCTTCCTCTGTGTTTGACCCTGGAAACACAAAGGAAGTATAAGGAAATTAAAGAGGGAGACAAGACTAGTGGGCAGTGGGGGAGCAGAAGGAAAAGGAAAAAGAAACCAGAAAAAGCAAAGCTACAAAGGGAAGGGATAAACTGGAAGAGGAAGGGAGGACCAGGCACCCCTAGAACCTTTCCCCCCAAGCTTCACCCCACTGTTTTGACTCCATTAAGGAACAGTGCTTCAAGAGCCTGTGTTATCAGTGTCACTGCCTCTAAAATTGTAAGGGCCTTCTTGCTGAGCCCTCTGCTGGTGGGTGGGACAGAGGGTAAATCATTCTTATGATCTACCCACCATGATTCATAAAAACTTTCTCAGCCCACCCACTAACTTGACTACCAGAACCGCAGACATGTATCAGTGCCCTCTTTCCCAACCTTCACACCAGTCTCATGCCCCCTACAGAGCCCCCAGCTGGGGCTATTTGTGGCTTCTCACCAGGCACATCTACACATGCATTAATGTGCTTTACTTAATGCACATGAAATCTAGTACCTCCATTGTGAGGTACTATGGAAATGCCCATTAGCCTTTCTTAATGCACATTAACTAACGAGCATGAGGTGCCTATACATGAGTGGAGAGGTGGCTCTGATGCACTATAATTACAGCACATTGGAGCAGACTCAATTAATTGTAATTAATTGAGTCTGCTAGAGCATGGTAATTACTGTGCTTCAGCAGCTTCCTGTGTCTCATATATCAGTGTCCCCATGCTACAAAATGGCAGTGGGGGCACTTCATAGTTTCATAGTTTCTAGGCTTGGAAGGGACCTGAGCAGATCATCTAGTCCGACCCCCTGCTATGGCAGGAAGAGCACTGGGGTCAAATGACCCCAGTAAGGTGGTCAGCCAACCTCCTCTTAAAAACCCCCAGGGTGGGAGCCTGCACCACCTCACTTGGAAGCTGGTTCCAGACTCTAGCCACCCTGACAGTGAAGTAGCGACTCCTGATGTCCAACTTAAACCTTCCCTCCACCAGCTTGTGACCATTGTTCCTGGTCACTCCTTGCGGCACTCGGGGGAACAGGGACTCCCCCAGCGCCTGCTGATC